AGGCGAACGGGCTAAAAGTACACGCTTCCCCACGGGATCGGGTCGATGTTTGCCTTTTGGGGCTCCTTTGGGAAACCTCGCGGGGAGTCTTGGAGGCCACTTGGGCAGCCTTGAGGCCATCTTGGTTTTGTGGGGAGCTCTCTTCGGCGCGTTGGAGCCCATCTTGAGCCAACTGAGATGGCATCTCTGGCATCGTGGAGGCAACGGGGAGTAGAGTTGCAGGCTCCAGAGGCTCAGCGGTTTAGGAGCCCCCCCCCCCCCTAAAACGCGATGGTGGAGTTGGTGGGGGGAAAGAGAGATGGGGACAGCCAAATGTTTCACACGCCGCGTCACCTCTGGCAAGCGAAGTTCGGCGGATATACTCGAGGGGGAAAGTACGGCTCATATCAGACATGTAGCCTTGCTCCCCTTTTCATGGTCCCCGCTGTACTTTTACATTATGTTATTTGCTTTCCTCTACTTATAGTTTCTACGTTTTGATTCGTTTACTTCTTGCTGACTACCACCGCGTATGCCTCTCCCGTCTGAGCCACCATAGCCGCCACTCCTCCAAATATCGAAGACCACAGAAAGCCCAAACTGCCAGGACATGCGCGAACGATGGCTGTCCAACTCTCGGGCCAGCGCGGTCCGCCAGATCTATCCTTTGAGTGCGAAAGCTCGCGTATTCTGATATGTTCGGTGCGTATCGGTCTGAGCCGATGTCCATTCCGAATCGTTGGTCGATGTATGGCTTTTCACTCGCCGACGTGCAGACGCTCCTGCACAAGAAGGATCCCGAATGAGGGATGATTTGGACCACGCCTTTCAGAGTACCTTTCGTGGGGTGACCCATGGCCTGAGATCGGCGTATTCCGGCGCCCCACGTAGTCTTGCGGGCATTGTCCGTGAAGGGAGTTTGGGGGGAGGCGGTTTTCCAGGCGGGGGTCCTCCAGGAGTTTCGCACCCCCAGTTTTGACGAGGTTGCGAGGCCCTTTTGGGGCTCTCTGGAAAACCCCCTCCCAAAGAACCCCCTTTGGAACCCTCCGGCGTGTAGTCCAGATGGTGGGGGGCCATGTAGCCCGGGGGACGAGGCCTTGCAGTCTGGGGGGCCGGTGGGCACCCATGCAGTCCGGGGGGGGGTCCTGGAGTCGAGGGTTGGGCTGGGCGCGCGAGGCCAGTATGCCGCGGCCCTCACGTGGAGCAGCTATATGCCGCCCTGCGGCACACTTGCACGTGCCCTGCAGGTCGATCGCAGCCACCTCGAAACTGTGAACAAGTCACGGCGATCACTGCAGCAGGCTCCCGACCCGGAGTTGTTTTTTGACGGTCCCGTGGCCCGCGAGGGCCCTTGGAGGCCAGAAACGGCCAACATTCTCCCGTCGTGCTTTCCCTCAGATCCGACGTGACACAAAATTGCAACATCGCCATCGCAAAAAATCACGACTTGACCCCTGGACCCCATCTTCCTGCGTCATCTTGCGAACCGGATCGATCTGTGAGGGTCCCATGGGGCTGGACATTGAGCAGAAACGCCCAGCTCAAAAAGATTGCGTCGCCAGGATCTCAGGGAGTGTGTCCACGGCGCGAGCGCGTGCTGGCCGCGCCAGCGCGCTCGGGATGCAAGTCTTCCACCTCCTCCTCCTCCCCTCCTCCCCCGCCTCCGCGGCCGCTCTGCCTGTCTCAGACTCTCCTCCTGCAGGCTGGGCCGCTCGCTCTCTAGCCGCTCCGACTTGCTTGACCGCTCGTGTTAAGTCGGGCCTGTCCCTCTACAGGAGGACTATCGAAAAATAGTAAAAAAAAAAAAGATAGCCAGGGGACCATGTTTTGACTATGTGTTGACACTTGTTTTGCATGTTTGGAGCTCGTTTTGATAACATAACCCGCCTGTACGACCTTCCCCGGCTTCTCCCGGCACCCGCCCAGACCCCCTTTGGGGAGTCAAGATGCTTTCTTTTGAGCCCACTAGAAACCTATCAGTCTTCGCTGTTAGGCAATACTCAAAAAATAATCTGGGGACCATTTGTTTGGAGTATGTGTCGACATATGAGTTGCATGTTTGGAGCTTGTTTTGATCATTTGTCGTTCAAAACCCGCCTGTACGACCTAATGCTCGCGCAGCTCACCTCTGCCTCGCCGCCGACGAGCAAGAAGCGTTTGTGTCCACGGCGCGAGCGCCTGCGGGCCCGTCGCCCGGCGCCCGGCGCACGTCGACGCCCTCGCTGCCGCTCCCCCAAACAGGTGGGCCCGTTTTCCACCACCGCCGCCATAAGTTCGGGGGGAGGAGGGTCCTCCTCCTCCTCCTCCTCCTCCTCCTCCTCCTCTTCCTCCTCCCCCCTCCTCCTCCTCCTCCTCCTCCTCCTCCTCCTCCTCCTCCTCCTCCTCCTCCTCCTCCTCCTCCTCCTTCTCCTCCTCCTCCTCCTCCTCGTCCTCCCCCCTCCAACTTCTATGGCTGGTGGCGGTGGTGGAAGCCAGGCCCAGCACCCCCGGCCAGGTGGACATCTCGGGCGCCCGGCGCTGATGCGGTGGTTGGGCCGTGCGCGCGCGCGGCCCGGCCTCGCTCGTCGGGCCCTGGCGGGCAGGAGCTGTGGGAACCGGTGGCCTGGGCGAGGCATCCCAAGACATGATCGCGTCGTAAAAAAAACCAGGGCGGGAGGTGTTTGGCCGTTTTCGGCCTCGGGGGGCCCTCGCCGGGCCTCGGGACCGTCAAGAAACGATTCAGGATGAAAAACCCGTCCCGGAGAAAGGGTCGGGGTTTTCAGGGAACCCATGTTGAAAAAAACAGGACGTCGCATGTCTGGGTCTGTTTCTTTGGTCCTCTTAGACGGGGCCGGAGCAGATGGGGTCGGAGGATCGCGCCGCATCGCCGATTCATCGCCGATGGGGCTCGGTGTGGAGCCAGATTTGCTTCACGTCGACGTCGCCGATGCATCGCCCACGTCGACGATGCATCGCCGGTGCATCGCCGATGCATCTCCGATGCATCGTCGGTGCATCGGCGATGCGGCGCGATCCCCCGACCCCATCTACTCCGACCCTATCTAGGAGGCCCCTAGTTTTGCATTCCTTGCACGAGTGCCACGGCCTCCAAAACGTGGTCGGAGTAGATGGTGTCAGAGGATCGTGCCGCATCGCTGATGCATCGGCGATGCATATTTTTTTCCGAAATCCGCCCGTAGGATGACATGCCCGACCTAATGCTGATCGCAGTGGCCATATCTCCACATCAGAGGGCAAACGAACTATCGCAACACAGAGGTTTAGAACCAAGCTCGTTCAACCCACATCGCGGCATATAGAGCCCCTCCCCCCGATTCTCTCCCAACAAAAACCTGTCTTGAAGCTCCGCCCCCTGCCCGGTTGTGGGCACCGCTAGTGTGTGTGTGTGTGTGTCTGTGTCTGCGTCTGTGTCTGTGTCTGTGTCTGTGTCTGTGTCTGTGTCTGTGTCTGTGTCTGTGTCTGTGTCTGTGTCTGTGTGTGCCAGCGGCGTCCCGAGGGCACGAGGCGTCCGTGCAACGAGAGAGCTGGGCCGCGAAAGCGCTGGTGCTGCACCTGCCCGGGCTGCCTCGCGCCGTGGCCAGGGCACGGGCGCGGCGTCTGCGGCCACTCTTGGCCTCGGGGGGCCCTCGCTTGGCCCCCCGCCCGGGCCCGGCGTTCCACGGGAGCCACGGTGTGGGGACAAAATGCGACGCCGCCCCTCGCTCGGCCCCAGGCCCGGCGCTCGCCCCCAGGAAGGAGAGCCACGGCGTGGGGACAAAATGCGACGCCGCCCCTCGCTCGGCCCCGGGCCCGGCGTCCCACGACGGCTCAGGATGAGAAGCTGGCCCCCAGGAAGGGGAGCCACGGCGCGGGGACAAAGTGCGACGCCGCCCCTCGCTCGGCCCCGGGCCCAGCGTCCAACGACGGCTCAGGATGAGAAGCTGGCCCCCAGGAAGGAGAGCCACGGCGTGGGGGGAACAAAGGCGACGCCGCCCCTCCTGGGTGCACAGGCGGCAGGGGATGGGAACAGCGGCGGCGGGGTGCGGGGGACTTTGCTTGTTGCCACCCGCAAGAGGGGCCCCGGGGCAGAGGGGGGGCGGCACGGCGGACGAAGGGGGCGACACGACCCGGGGCGCCGAAAGAGGGCAGGGGAGGAGGGAGAGCGAAGGCGGGCGCGTCTTCCAACAGGAGGCATGGCCAAGCATGGTAGACGCATGCTCTGGGGGCGCTTTCCCGTGCTCTGTGGGCTTTTTGTTTAGGTCTTGTCCTGCTTCTTTGCAGTAACTTGTCCTCCAAGGTCCGCCTGTAGGGGGGCATGGCGGCTGAGGGGGGCGGGAAGACAGAAACCCAGAAAATATGGGAAAACCTATGGGGGATTCTTTGATTTGTGTGCATTTCTTTGTGCGTCCTGGGGCCCCTTCAAATTTGTCCTCCAAGGTCCGCCTGTACACCTTGGGCGATGCTTAAGAAAACCTAAGTTTTCGTCCAGAGTCTCGATGATTCTTAATTTTCCAATGTAAATCCGAAGATTTTGATAGAAGTTCTGGGTTTTATTCAATTTCTGAGACTATGAATTTCTTAACCCATGATTTCTTAAGCATTTCGCAAGGTGTAGGGGGGCATGGCGGCTGAGGGGGGAGGGGAGCCGGGGCGCGCGCCCCCGGGCGCGCGCTCGGCCGCCCGCCCGGGGCCGGCGCAGCCCGCATGAGGCACGCGAGGCGCGCAGCAAGGCGACGGCCAGCACACGGAGCGAGACGGGCATGGCACGCGGAGCGACGCCGCGCAGTGCGGTGAGCACGGGCACGCGAAGAGTGTGTGAGTGTGTATATATTTACAAGGGCGCCCTCGAGGGCGCGAAGTTATTCGCGCTTCGCGCTTCGCGGTTCGGCTCCGATTCCTCATCCTCCTCTTCTCCCCTGGGAGGCGGCGCGAGAGCGCGAAGTTATTCGCACTTCGCGCAGCGCGAAGCGCGAAGCTGGGAGCCCTTGTATATAGATAGATGTGCTGGGTGGCCATGCGTTCGTGGTCGTGCTGGGTGGCCATGCGTGCGGGTAGACAAAACACCTTCCGTTTTTTGGTCTCTCTCTCTGTCTCGTCGGCGTGACCGCAGCGACGGCCCTCTTTATTCGTCGGAGGAGCCTCGAACAGACATGTTATACAACAACATGTGTACACATGCATATGTATACATATCTATATGTATACAGATGTGTATCCATATATGTATACTTACACACATGTATATGTACATATATCTCAGAGTGAGGGGGGCGAACGGCCATTCGTTGTCCCTGGGTGCGTGGCTGAAGTGGGAAACCGTGGTGAGGTTATGGTTGTTGCGTTGGTGTGTATCCATTCCTAAAGACTAATTATTGTTGGTCTCCGAAAGCGGTTCCGCGCGTTCTCGCCTCGACGCCGGCTGCATTTTCTCTGAAAGCGAGGCTCCCGCTCGAGCCTTGCTTGACCCTAAATGTGGGCCTTTTGAGGCCCAGCTACGACAACAGCCAGTGGCACTTCAGCACTTCAGCCAAGGGCCGACAAGGAAGATATTCCCCCCGAAAGGTGGTGCAATCGAAGACGTGTTGGGCGGGTATCGAGGGTTGGGGTTTACGGAATGCAAGACACGCGTGCCAGCAAGAGCGAACAGCATCAAATGATTGTTGGTGTTGATGATGTTGTTATTATTGTTGTTATTGCTGTTGTTGCGATTGTTGTTTTTGTTGTTGTTGATGTTGATGCTGTTGTTTTTGTTGTTGTTGTAGTTGTTGTTGTCGTTGTTTGTTTGTTGTCGTCGTCCCCCCCGCGACCCACCCGCGACCCACCCAGCGACCCACCCCGCAACCCACCCCGCGACCCATCCCGCGTCCCACCCCGCGACCCACCCGCGACCCACCCCGCGACCCACCCGCGACCCACCCGCGACCCACCCGCGGCACATTCCGCGACCCTCCCGCGACACACCCCGCGACCCATCCCGCGACCCACCCGCGACCCATCCGCGACGCACCCGCGACCCACCCCGCGACCCACCCGCGACCCACCCCGCGACCCACCCGCGACCCGCGACCCACCCGCGACCCGCCCGCGACCGATCCACCTTGGTTCGAAGAAAAGGTCGGCGCCTGCGGTGGGCTCCTTGTTATAATTTGTGAAACTTTGGCGCCTGCGGCGGGCTTCTCCAGAGTCTCGCAGACCGCCGACGTCCCCATCGCTCCCTTATTCTTATCCGCATCTGCGGGTTGCTACGTATATGTCTCTCCATCTAGCACTGAATGAGTCCTAACAGAAGTTGAAAGATTTGGCGAAAGTTTCCCGCCGATTTTGGTCGCAGGCTGGGTTCCCGGGTTCCTAGTTCCGGGTTCCCAGGTTCCCGGTTATTGGTTCCAGGTCGATTTCGGTGGGTTCTGGGTTCCCCGGCTATTTGGTTCCCGGTCGATCTTTTCAGCGAAGACCATCCAATGATTGGGAATTTTCTTTGGTGTAATGTCTATGTTTCTTTGGTGTAATGTCTATGTATCTATATATATAAATATGTATACATGTGTGTATGTGTATATATATACACACATAGACACTCCGCGACGAGTTTTGCGCGTTTGTACCTGCAGAGAGGGCGGCGGTGTATCAGGCCGCTGGTTCTCGGCGGTGGTTAACACAAAGAGTGACGCACCGGCACGCCAGCGCCGCCACGTGCCCGGGGCCCTTCCGCGGCCCAGAATCGGCGCGCGCGCGGCTGCTCCTGGCACGTGGTGCGTTCCAGAAAGGGCATCGGCCTCGAGCCGGAGGTTGACAGACCTCCCACCCTGACACGTCGATTGGCGAATTGGCTTTTTTTCGGTGAGAGGGCATCGCGGCCGTCATTTTTGCGGGTCCAGGTCCGTCGGTTTCGGTCCTGGGCCGTTTTCACGAAAGTCAGGAGGGACAGAAACACACAGACACAATGAATCGTCGATCCCTGGGAAAATATGGGAAACAATGGGAAGTGGGGGGAAGACAGAAACCCCGAACATATGGGAAAATATAGGGGGATCTGTTTATTTGTGTGTATTTATTTGTGTGTCCTGGGGCCCCTTCAGAAAGGGTGGTTTGCTAAAGGGAGGTTTGTCCACCGCCGATCGATCGGGGGAGCGTAAGACCCGGGTTTGCCAGGACCCGGGTTCGCCATTTTTTTTGACGACCGCGACTCGGATTTTGACGAGCAGGAGTTTCGTGGGATGTCTGCAGCGGGAGGCCTCGTCAAGATGCAGGCTCGGCCTCGTCATTTTTGTTGACGACCTCGTCGGGGATTTCCGAGTCCCCCGTACCCGGGTCTGACGTCTCCCCGAATCGAGGATCCAAGGAGGTGCCATCTCTGCCTCGGCGGGAGGCCGGCGGAGGGCGGCGGGGTGTGCGCTGGAAGCCGGCAGGCGGCCGGCAGAGGGCGGCGGAAGTAGAGGTCTCTGCACGCACGAAATGGGTACGGTAGGTTCGCGTCGTGTCGACCGGCGGAGACCCCGCCGCCGACGTTCAACGTTGAACGCCGCGGGCGACCCAGAATCGTTC